CCCCCCCTTTGTGCCTGGAGGCGGGTTACAACCAGTACCCTTCATTTCCCCCCCCTTCCCACGGCCCCCCACTGCGACAGGTCTCCCGGCTTTGGGCGGAAAAAATCTCGCTCACTTAACCCCGGGCCAGTCCCGGGTGAATGTTCGCCCTCGAAACCCCCCTCCGAAAAATGCGCGCGGCCCTGTTCGCCTAAGGGCGAGCGTGCACTCCTGGGCAGCCGCCCCTGACCCCCATGGCCCCGCGGACTACCCGTTCAAGTGCCGCGCGGAAGGGTGGTCTTCCCGCGGCCTCGGCGTTGGCGCGTTGCCGGGCGATTCGTATTGGGCGTTTGCCGCAGTTCGTGCAAGGACCGTGCCCGATCGCCGACCTGCGCAGATATGCGCGTGCGCGGGGGCTGTCCGTGGGCGGCTTGATGGGGCGGCCGAGGCGCGCCCGGTCCACGGTTGGCAAAACCTTGTGCGTGCGTGTAGGGTGTAGCGGAATTCGATGTACAGAGGTTACACGTTACAGGTGGGTGAACCCATTTTTGCCACAAGAACATAGTAGCGTCTCGTCAGAAGTATTCAGAGCACACACAGAGAGGCGGGCGGAGGAGGCCATCCCCCCCCCCCCCCCCCTACGGGTTACTTACGGGATATACGGCTTTATCAGGCAACTTACACCGCAACCCTCACACCGACTCCGACACACACGTGTGACGTGTGTAGACAGTACTCAGTATAGATTGTTGGTTCATGCGCATCATCTTGTGAGCTTCTAGATCGGTGGCGATCGATCTCAAACGACTGTGGTTCGTACCTCAACCTCTCGATTTAATAATCCGATTTTCGTACCACGTACGTGTCGCGTGTCGCTGCTGCTGCTGCTGTTACGTCTTCGGTCCCCGCGGGAAGCCCCGCGCATAGGTGATAGGACAACAACGTCTGTCCCACACATGCACAGACGCGCACATACATCATGCTCGGGCACACCCCACAGTGTAGTGGTGTGAGCACACAAGTACTAGCAGAGTGCACACCTGCCTTGGCGGGTGAGGGTCGTAAGAATCAAAGCCTCTTGGTGCCAAACGTGCTCGAGCGCGCCGAAGAGAGACGATCTACGCTCGCGGGAGTTAGCGAAAGTCGCACGGGCAGAGGGGAGACCGAGGCCTCCGGCAGTCCGCACCGCCTCGCGAAAGGGAAGCAACGATCAACTCCAGCTTGGACTTGGGTGCGCCGAGCGCCGGCGCGTAGGTCGCGACCGACGCGTGTCGGTGACGCACAAATATCAAATTCCACAATCCGTCCAAGTCACTACCCCAAGGACCCGCAAGTCTGCGTACTTGTGACACGTGTCTCGTGTGTCGTGTGAGAGGCGTGGGCCGGCAGGGGTGCGCCGCGGGGGGTGAAATAAATAAATAAATAAAACGGTCAAACTCTGAGACGAGATGGGATTTAGGGACATGTGTCCCCGCCCTGCACGATCTTGGTGTGAGGGATCTTCAATCCGTGTCCCCTCACCCCTCGTCACAACCCGACACGGAAGAGCGGCAAGAGTTGGGGCTGCGGCTACGGCTGCGGCTACGAGAGGGGCCTGGGAGCGGGGTCGCGGGAGAGCCGCTGCGCCGCGTGGACGCGCCTACACCGCTCTTGCTCCGCTCGCCACCTCTCGCAAAGGTCCAAAGTCATAGCCATCACCTCCTCCGGCAAGTCCTTTTCGCCTATCTCGCCGTCCCTCCATGCCTGGTAGAGCTCGTCGTCATAGCCGTATTGCATCACAGCCTGCTGCACTGCGTCGTGTACAACCCCTGCCACCCTATCCCGCGCCTCAGCGTCGGAAAATTCGAGCTCGGAGTCATACTCGGAAGCAGGCGCAGACGGCCGCGGTGATTTGGCAGGCGGCGAGGAGGGGGAGGGGGAGCGCGGCGGTGCGCGCTCGTGCCTGGGAGTGCCTCCCCCGCTGGTGCCAGAACCAGAAGGCTGATCGCTGAAGGGCCAGCGCCCAGCGCGCTCGGGGTGAGACGAGTGAGACGTGCAAAAAATGTTCGAAAAACGCTGTCGCGGCAGTCGGCACGATCTACTCCAAAAAGGTGACACAGAGCACTCACTTTTTAAGCGTTCCCGGCATAGAGAAGGAGTAGCCAAACTGCGTGCCGGCACCGCGGCGCAGCGGGACACGCGCCCGGGGGGTAGGGCGACAGGCCGGAGACGCACACGCGCGAGCGTCCACGAGGATGACGCGGTGGCAGCCCCCCCAACCGCCCCCCACCCCCCCACCCCCACCCCCCCCACCGCTCCCTCCCCCCCCTCCCCCATTTGCAAAGCCGCTCACGCCCCCCGGTCACGACTACTCGTCGTCCTCCGCCTCCTCCTTGGCGCGGGCGGCGGCCATCTCGGCGCGCAGGGTCGCGTAGTACCGGTTGATCTTCTCCTTCTCCGCGTTGTGCGACGAGCGCCACCAAAACGCCATGATGGTGGCGACAATCGTCGACTCAATCGTGAGTCGGAAGAACTTTTTGATCGAGTCGTCGGTGGTCTTGCGCTCGCACACAACCTTGTCGTACGGGACGCTCGCCATGCCCCGCCGGGCTGGAAGCCCGACCCCCCCGGCGCACGCGGCGCGCGCGACGCCCGCACGGCGCGCGGCCCCAGCGAGTCCGAGTCGAAGCATCGATCGCCGAAAAAACCTTCTTTTCTTTGTTTTTTTTCTCGTTGGACTTTCCCGGCACGCCGTGAGAGAGAGAGAGAGAGAGAGAGAGAGAGAGCGAGAATAGCTCCGCCGTTCATGGAGGCAACCGATGCGAGTCGACTGGTGTGTGTCGTCGTGGTTTCGTATCAAGAATTCTCTCTCTCTCTCCGGCACGCCGTCTCCCATCCCTCCCTTGGGTTGTCTGTTTTCTTTCCGTCTTTCTTTGTCCTGTTTGGTGGCGGCGTGCCGTCCTCCCATCCCTCCCTTGCGTTGCTGCGAGGGGTGGGGGGCGGCGCCAGCGCCCTCCCATGATGATGATCTTGATGATGCCTTTGGCGGGACGACGTCGTCGATTATTAGGGCGCATCTTAGTTTCCGGGCAGGTTTTCTTTTTTGCGTGGGCTATGGGAGTAACCTCGCTAAAGTGTGATGTACACATCTCACATGACATCTCAGTTCTCACATGCACAGGCTGGACATCAGTGCCGAGCACCACACTCAGACCTCTACCAGAGCGCCGCAGTGCGCAGAGAGGCAGAGTCAAAGTGCACACAGAGCGCAAAACGCGGGGTGTACGTGGTGGGGCCGAGGTTCCGGGACGCGAGTCCTCCGGGTTACCTTGGGCACTATTTTCGATCTTTTTCGTAGCTCACACACGAAGGGACAAACAACAACAACAACAACAACAACAACGTGTGAGTGTTAGAGTTGTTTGGTATTGCTATCGATCGAAGGGACTCAAATCTTCGCAGACCGCCGTCGACCTGGGAGATCTCACCGGAGGTACCATGTTGATGGTTCGATCCTCCCCAGAGTCGAACTGGCAGCCACTCGCACCAAGGAGGCGAGGTGTGGCTACGTGACCCAGAAAAGGCCAGACAGAGTCGGGAGCAACTTAGGCTGAACAAGCTTTTCCTCTCGCACCCCGTCTCTTTTCCTTTCCTTTTTTCTCTACAGCACCCTCTCTTTTCCTCTCTCTTTTCCCGGGGAACCATCAAATTTTCCGGCTCTGAGCCGAGTCTGAGGCTGGTTTGGGCCCAAAATCAGCCAAATCGGCAAAATACCGGGTATTTTGCGGGTATACCTGGAAACCCCCGGGTATACCTGGAAAATGCCCTGCGACCGCCTGGGTATCGTGCCGATTTCCTCAATTTTGCGTCAGATTTTGCCCCAGACCAGCTCTCAGACTCAGGGAAACTCGCGAGTTTCCAGAATGGAGCACCAAACACCCTCTGTTTCCCCTGGAAATTTCCGGAAACGCAAAGTGCTGGGGACCCTCTGTTTTCCTTTTTGTTTGCCGGAAAAGCTTGTGCAGGCCAAGGAGCAACCCTCGCGGTGGGTCGCTCGTATATACTCAACACCGAAGCGTGATTTGGCCGTGAAAAAGTAGGCGTTTGCCGCTGCGGGGTCCCCCGCTGTCGCCCGGGGTCGTGCGAGGGGTGGGCAAAACCCAGGAGGGGCCCCAGTGGTTCGTTTCTCCCCGGTCCGGGCGTGGAGCCGTGGCGCAGTTCGCCGTCTGCGCCGCGTGCCGACGCTGACGCAGCTGCGCGCCAAGCATGCCGCTCACCCTGGAGCAGCTCGAGGAGATCCAGGCGGACGCGTTGGCCGATGACGTCCCCATCGATCTGCCTCGGATGCGGCTCTGGGACCGCGACAAGGCGGTCACCTTCTTTGAGGGCGGCGGCGTGCTGCCGCCCTCGCCGCTGCTCGTCGCGCTCTACTCCGCCGGCCTCACTCCCTCGCAGGGACGCAGCCTGCTTGGCCGCGTGCTTGCCGCGGCCAGGGCGGCCGGCGTCGAGGACTCACTCGTCCTCGATCACCACACCTCGCACCCGGCGTGCAAGACCTTTGACGAGTACATCGCCGCCCTCGCCGCTCAAGTGGAGGAGGCGGCGGGGAGCGCTCGGCCGGTGGTGCTGCTCGCCCATTCGCACGGCGCGGTCGCTGCGTACGGTCTCGCGCGCGCCCTCGGCCCGCGCGCGCGCAAGCTGCTTGTGGTGGCGCGCAGGCCGCCGCATGGGCCTCAGTCGCTGCTGCTGCAGGAGGTGTGGGGCGTTTGCTCGGCGGGCGAGTTTGTGGCGCTGCCCGGGCCGGCGATCCTCAGCGGGCTCGTCGCGGCGTACCGGTCGAGCTCGCTCGCGCCGCACGCCCGCTCGCCCGAGGCGGCTTGGCCTCCGCCCGTCATAGAGACGGTGGGCCTCGCGCGTGAGCTGTACGGCTCGCCAATCGCCCTCTGCGCTGAGGCGGACATCATCGCCGCGCTCGGCAGCGTGGAGCCACCCTCGCCGCCGCCGCTCGCCCTCCCGATCGTCGCGCTCGCCGCGGCGGGCGAGGCGCCCGCCGGAGAGACGGGCGCCAAGATGCGCGGTTGGGCGAGCCTGACGCGTGGCCGCTTTGCGCTGCACACCGTGGCCAACGCCGACCACATGGGCGTCATCCTGAACAAGGAGGCGCATCGGATGCTCGTGGAGGAGGTGCTGGAGGAGAGCTAGGGAGCGTAGACGGGGCGCTGCGCGCTACGCGCGCCCGCCGCCCCCACCCCTTGTATTTTGGTCGTTACCTAAAGCCGACGTGCGGTCCAAAGTAGTCCGGAGCTCTCCGGTAAAACGTAATCGCCAACCCCGTAAGTGATGTGCCTATGACTTTGACATGACTACTTTTGTGACTGGGTCTCGCTCGCGTGTCTGTGTTCCAATGGTGTTCCACACTGCGGCACGTGTGCGTCGTGCGGCGGGCCAACCCACACCCTTTAGACGGTAGAGATATCGATTACTCCGCCCGGCCCGCCGGGCAGGCGGGCGCCCAGGGGCAGGGCCCAGCGGCGCGCGGCCGGCACACGCGGCAGCGCGCCACAGCGGGCGCTCGGCCAGAGCCGCGGCACACACAGTGTCGCGCATTTTTTGCTATTTTCGGGGGTAACAAGCACAAGGGGGCCATGGCGAATGAGACAGTCAGTGGGCCTCCGCGTGGCAAAATGCACAGGGATGACGGAGATGCCCGTGCGGCAGCGCGTGCTAGCTCGCCACTGCTGCCCAGCTGCCGGTGGCCCGCGCCGGTCGGACGTCGCCGCCGCGGCCGGTCCTGCGGAGGCACGCCCGGTGGGCGGCGGAGACTCTAGACGCTCCCGGGCAGCAGCGGCACGGAGTTGGGGATAAAGTGCGCAGAGACGAGCGACATGACGCCGATCATGGCGAGGCGGCCGTTCTTCAGCTCGGCCAGGCGCTTGCGCGCGAGCGTCTCCGGGGAGAGCTTGGCAGTAAAGCCGAGCGGGTCCCACAGCAGCGGCACCTTGCCGGGCGTGCCTCCGGCCTGCAAGGGCGAGGAGAGGAGCCGAGGGCTGAACGAGGCGGCCAAAGCACGAGTGCGGCGGAGCGCGGGAAGGGGCGTCGAGGAAGAGAGCGAAGGGGCCGCGGTCCGGACGTCTGGCGCGCGCGGTGTGACCGCGCGTCTCTCGGCGGCAGAGTCCTGCGCAGGGTGGCGGCGGCGGCGGCGGCGGCGGCGGCGGCGGCGGCGGCGGCGAGGGCGGCGGCGGCGAGGGCGGCGGCGGCGGCGCGGGTGGTGGCACGGATGGCGGTGGGCGGCGAGGGCGAAGGCGGCACAGATGGCAAAGGCGAGGGCGGGACAGGCGGCGAGGGCGGTACGGCGGCCATGGAGGAAAGGGAGGTGGATGCGAGGGAGGGACAGGCGGCGAGGGCGGTGGAGGGCGTTCCGCACCATGTAGTGCGGCTTGACCGCCGACTCGCTCAGGATCTCGAGGATGCCAATCACGCCGAGGATCTGGAACTTGCCCGCCTCGGGCACCGCCGCCCACGCGGCGTAGCCGTCGCGGCCGAGCGACTCGAAGGTGACGCCCTGCTCCACCGACAGGTACCCCGGGAACAGGGGACCGCCCGACGAGACCCACGCCCAGCCAGTGACGGCAGCCTGCGCGGTGAGGCGAAACAACGGAGGTCGGGGAGCGGCGCGGCAGGACGAGAGGGCGTGCGTCCCAGGCGCGGCGGCAGGAGCGCAGCGCGGCGCGAGGGTGGCCCGCGCACCATCGCGACGCGCGAGTGCTTCAGCTCAGCGGCGCGGTACCAGGCGAGGGTCTCGGCGGACGCAATCTTCGAGAGGCCCATCGGGTCAAAGACCTTGCCGCCGGTCTCGGGGCCAGTGCCCTCCCTGCGCGCGGGCGCCGCAGGCACCTCAGCATGGTCGGGAAATGTCCAGGCCTCTGAGCATCTCTGCGCAGCCTCACATATCGGAGACGCCCATGCGAACGCCGGCGGCAGCGGCTGGCGCGACGCGCGGCGCGAGCGCCGGGCCGTTGAAGGAGACGCTGTTGACGGTGAGGGAGAGCATGGCTACCTGGGGAGTTGGAGACAGAGTGTGAGGCCTTTGGAGTAAAGCCTGCGGGCTGGTCTGGCCACTGCGCACCGAAATGAAGGTGGAGGTTGCAAAAATAAGAATTCTTCAATGACGCTAGCAATCCTTGGATCTTTGGTACGATTGTGAGCGCAGCCGCTCATAGTGCATCCAACAAGATGTAGGATTTTAGCGCTCGCAATCGGGAGGCATGTTGCTAGGATTGTGAGCCGTGCTGCTCGCAAGCTCGCAACAGACCTAGACTTTGCTCGGATTGCGAGCACGCTGGTACTCGAGGAGTAGTCGTAGGCGTCACCAGTCGCCTTGGCGCGGAGCTGCTCTTAGTTCTAGAAGATGTAGTTGCGAGGAATGCTGCTCACAACCCTTCGACTTCCAGGATTGAGAGCGAGGCTGCTCTCACTCAATCCTAGCCTTCTACTAACAAAAAAGAAGGTTCACCCCCACTCCGCTGCGCTCCGAGTGCGGGTCAGGAGGCCCTAAAACGGCGGGAGGGGTAGGGGTGCCGCTGTAGGGGTGTGGAGGGGTCGGGAGGGCGGGAGTGTGGACCGTGACCTAAAGCCCTCCACCGATAGAGGTGTCAGGCGGCAGGGCCCAGGAGGGGTGGGGGCTTGGAGGGCTGGCCAAAAGCGAGGCGTGGGAGGGGTCCAGTGGGCTAGAGAGGGCTGGAGGGGTCGGAGGGGGCTAGAGGGGCCGGAGGGGCTGTGCGGATGGAGGGGTCTGGAGGGCTCGGGGGGCTTGGAGGGCTCGGAGGGTGTCGTCCGGCAAGAGGGTCACTAGCGCGAGGGGTGGGGCTCGGGAGGGGTGGAGAGCTCGCGGAGGGCTCGGAGGGCTCGGAGGGCAGAGAGGCACGAGGGTGGCGCTGGAGGGCTCGGGAGGGCTCGGGAGGGCTCATGAGGGATGGAGTGCCCGGAGGGCTCGGAGGGGCGAGCCACCGAGCCGGGCTCGCGGGGCTCGGAGGGCTCGGAGGGGTCGGAGGGGTCGGAGGGGTCGGAGGGCTCGGGGGGCTCGGAGGGCTCGCGGAGGGGTGTGGAGGGGTCGGAGGGGTCGGAGGGGTCGGAGGGGTCGGAGGGGTGTGGTGGAGGAGGGGTGTGGAGGGCTCGGAGGGCTCGGTTAAAGATACCCTGCAGGCATACGGAAGTGGTGCAATACATTCGAATTTCTGGGTCTCGGTTCACGGATGGTTCGCGAACTGTGGTTCGCGAACTGTGTCGGTGTGTAAGAGGTGTGAAAATAAGCTTGGTTCATGAACTAGTTCAGTGGTTCACCCTCGAACCGACCGTGAACTCTGAACCGTGAACCCGAACCGAGGCAGGACAAAACTAGGGCGAACCGCGAACCGTGAACGAACCAGGCGGGGCAGCGTCGGGCCGAACCGTGAACCGTGAACCGACTAGCCCCCGCCCCGAGTCCGTGAACCGCGAACCGTGAACTAACCGTGAACCGCGAACTGGTTCATGAACCGGGTTCACGGTTCACCTCGTGAACTGAGAGGGCTGGGAGGAGGCAGCCACCGTGGAGATGGTGGTGCACGTGAGCAATGTCGCAAGAGTCAGGCCGCCGCCGCCGCCATCACCATGTGCGCCGAGCTTTGTTGAGCTCCAGCAATCGCGCTGCGATGAACTGGGAAGCTCGGATTCGATCGGTCACACCGCCATCGCCGTCGGGGAGAGGGGGGACGACACTGCTTCGGCAGCGTGCACCTCGATCCTGTACCGTGTTTGTTATGACCCCCCCCAATGAACATACCAGTGAGGGAGGGCGAGACGATCGAGGGGTCCCGTACCATGCGGAATCGACCACTTCCCAAACGCGATGGCTCCCATCAAGTGGAACGCTCCTACGATTGCTCTGACCGTGAACGCCATCCTCGTCGGATTGGCTGGCTTGGCTTCGCTGTCGGGCGATGACTCCGCGTTGCCGCCCGCGTTCAAGACGGACAACGCGCATGTCGTGCGCGCCCTCGGGCATGAACTGTTCATCATGATGTGCTTGATGACCTGCGGCATCGTGAACAACATGGCGCAGAAGATGTGCCCGTATTTCGGTGCGGGGCTCCTCGTGTCGGTCTGGGTGCACATCAAGGGCGATGATGTGTCTGGCGGAGTGATGAACTTGTGCATTGCGATGGTGCACTTATACTTCGGGCTCGTCTGGGCGGAGAAGGGTGGGGGGAGCAAGAGGTGTAAACCGTGTTGTGTTGGCATGTGCTTTGTTGCCGGATGACATCGCTAGCGCCAACGCGACGCTTTGCTCGCGTGAGAGTGTGCTCACATGCGTGCGTACAGTACAGGAGGGTACAGCTCACCCACAGACTTACCCACAGCACTTACCACACACCACTCGATACGGCTTCTCTCCCCGACTCACGTCCAACTCACACTCACACTCAACTGTGACGCATGCATGCATGGTGGTGCGGCCTTTGTCGACACGGAGTGGGTGGCTACATCGTGGTGCGGGGTACCGACAGGTGTGCGCGTGCGGTGCGGAACACGCCGAGCACACACGCTCTTCGCGGTCGCTCGTTTCAGCCTACCGTATGCATCCCAGGTACGGCGTACGTACGGTGCGGCGACCTCTGGTATACCCAGGGTGCGTAAATAAATGAATAAATAAAAACCCAGATGGGATTTAGGGACATGCTTGCGCTGCTGCCACGTTGTATGTGGCTGGACAACTGGACAAACTGGTCACTGCCACAGACTGATCTCTAGTTCGACTAGTGTCGGCGTCGGACTCCACAAACACCGCAAGTGTGTCGTTTCCACACAGAAGGTGGCTCATGTCATGCTGCCGCCGCCACGGCTGCCACCTCAGCCTCAAGCCCCACACGTTGGCTGCTCAGCCGAGGCAGGTACGCCCTTCTCACAGCCCCGGCGCCCATGTCTCGATCTTCTTGGGCAGCAGCTCGTTCGACAGGTCCTCTCCGTGGCCCAAGCAGCCATCAACGCCCTCGCCCCAGGTAAGGACAGCGCCGTCGGCGGCGTGAGCGAGGCTGTGGCGGCGTCCGGCCGACACAGCGACGACGCGCTGGCCCGCCAAGGCCTCGATCTTCTTCGGCAGCAGCTGGTTCTGCTCGTCGCCGTGCCCCAGCTTGCCACGGTATCCGTCGCCCCAGCTCCACACAGCGCCGTCGACGGTGATGGCGAGACTGTGGTACTCTCCGGCCGACACAGCGATGACGCGCTGGTCAGCCAAGGCCTCGACCTTCTTCGGCAGGAGCCGGCGCTGCTCGTTGCCGTGGCCCAGCTTGCCCCAAGCTCCGCCGCCCCAGCTCCAGACGGAGCCGTCGGCGGTGATGGCGAGGCTGTGGTCGCTTCCAGCCGACACAGCGACGATGCGCCGCCCAGTGAAGGCCTCGATCTTCTTCGGCAGGAGCTGCCACTGCACGTCGCCGTGGCCCAGCCCGTACCCTCCCCAGCCCCAGCTCCAGACGGCGCCGTCGGCGGTGATGGCGAGGCTGTGCTTGCCTCCAGCCGACACAGCGACGACGCGCTGGCTAGCCAAGGCCTCGATATTCTTCGGTAGCAGCTGGGCCTGCCGGTCGCCGTGGCCCAGCCGGCCCGAGTCTCCATCGCCCCAGGTCCAAACGGCGCCATCGGCGGTGACAGCGATGCTATGGTAGCCTCCCGCCGACACAGTGACGACGCGCTGGCCAGTAAAGGCCTCGATCTTCTTCGGCAGCAGCTGATTCTGCTCGTCGCCGTGGCCCAGCTTGCCGAAGAGTCCATCGCCCCAGCTCCAGACAGCGCCGTCGGCGGTGAGGGCGAAACTGTGGCCAGCTCCAGCCGACACGCTCACGGCGCGCTCGTCACCCAGCGTGGACGATAGGCGGGTCGGTGTGTTGAGCTGCGTCACGCCCTCGCCGTGGCCAAGCAGCGCGGGCATTGGATTGTAGTCCGGCGGCGAGCCGCACGACGAGAGCCGCCCCTCGCCGTCGATGAAGAGGCTGTGGTAGTGGCCTGACGCCGCCCTCGCCGGCGCATTGGATTCGCGCAGCAACGCCGAATAACACAGCCACCGCACGGCGCAGCTCTCGCCCTCTGGCTTCGCCGGCAGCTCGAAGCCGCGCTCTTGCGCCCACAAGCGGATGCCCTGCTCCGCTAGCGAGGCGTGAAAGAGAAGCGAGACGGCCGCGGCGCGAGCGATGTCGATGGGGCTGTCGAAGCGGGAGAGGACGCGCTCGAGGATTTCCCTGGGGAGGTCGAGGAGCCGGGCGGGCGGCGGCGCGTACGGCGAGGGCGCGGCGGCGGCGGCGGAGGACGCGAGGCGGCCTGAGCGGCGGCGCGGTGGGGTGGACATCGCGAAGAAAAGAATTTTCCCACCCTTGAGCACTTGAGCACTGGATAGGGTCGATTCCGCGTGGTACGGGACCCCTCGATCGTCTCGCCCTCCCTCACTGGTGTGTTCATCGGGGGGGGTCATAACAGACACGGTACAGGATCGAGGTGCACGCTGCCGAGGCAGTGTCGTCCCCCCTCTCCCCGACGGCGATGGCGGTGTGACCGATCGAGCTACAAGAGGAGCTTGTTCAGCAGGATCAAGAGTGGGCCGAGCAGTTCTCACTTCCACACTGGGTGAGCTTCAGACCTCGGGCCTGCCTCGAATTGCGGTTAATGACTGCACTCCAAGTGCTCCAAGTGCTCCGAATTTAATCAAACAACAAGACTTTTTACAACAAAACAGACGCACGAAACGAACGCTTCCCGTAATAGAGATCCCGCGCGGTGGACATCGCGAAGAAAAGAATCTGCCTTGCACAAAAAGCTCGAAAGCAACCACAGCTCGAAAGCAGAAGGAGAAACCTTGCCTGTCTCCGTGTTTTAGTGCGCGCCAGTCCCGTGCCCAGTGTTGTGCGAGGGAGTTGGCTTGTTTGTATGTGTGTATCGCGCGCCTTGGGGGGGGGGGGGGCGGAAAAGAGGAACCTCTTAGTTAGCGCCATCGCCATGGTGCATGGTGCTGCAAGCAGCGCCGGGCGACGACCACTTCGACGACCGACTTACCGCCTCCCGGCCCCCCTCTCCACACCTCCGCTGCTTAATGTTTGTTTGACGACTCGAACCCAAGCTTCCCCGTGCGCGGGTTACCCCGCACACGGCTCACGGGTTAGCCTGCCACAGCCACGTATCAATAAAAGAAAAAAGACAAATCGAAAAGGGTCTCCAGCCATGAATAAATAAATAGAGGAGTCAACCCCTGGTGGGGTCTCCAGCCACGTATTCACGCAAGCGCCGATAAAATTCTTCCCGTGCCGCCGTGCCTAGTTAAGAAAGAAAGAAATAAAACACAGAAGCCAAGGGAGGGATGGGAGGACGGCACGCCGCCACCACACAGGGATTTTAAGGAGAGGAGTGTGGTGCTAGCCGATGCCCACCCTAACCCTTGGGCGAAGGCTTAGATGTGCCAGTGTGCTGTGAGAGAGGCTTGTGTCTTAAGGGATCCCTTAAGAATTCTTCCTGCCTGCGGCTCCGGTGGTGAGCCGGTGTGTGTGCCAGTCCGCGCCTGTCCGCTACTTGTCCTCAAGAATTCTTCCTGCCTGGCGCTAAGACACACCCCTCTTCGACACACCCACTTCGAGCAGCACCCATGACGGCGGGTTCGACGTGGACGTTCGTGAACGGCGTCAAGGTGACGCAGGTCCCAGGCGAGGCGCCCGCGAGCCGCAGCGCGCCGCCCGTGCTGCTGCCGGCGAAGCACACGCCGATCATGGCGACGGGCATCTCGGCGCCAAAGCTCGAGCTGTCCGGCCAGCACGCGGCGGGACATTCGGGGCTGCCGCCGCCGCCGCCGGGCACAGTCTTCCTCTCGAGCATCCCGGAGGCGCTCGACGACGCCCAGCTTCTCCAGCTCATCTGCACCTTTGGCGACGCGACGTCGCTGCAGCGCGCGTTGACGTTTGCGACCTTCACGTACAGCGAGGGGGACGAGATGGGGCAGACGGCCATCTACGCGCTCAACGGGCTCGAGCTCGGCGGCGCGAGCCTCGCCGCGCGCAAGGCCACCGCGCAGGACCTAGCCGCCCTCCGGGGGTCGGCGGAGCTGCGCGATGAGGCAAACAGACAGAGCTCTGCTTCCCTGCCGCCTCTCCCCGCCGCCGCCGCCTCCACTCTCCCCACCGCACCCTCTGCCGTCGTCTCCTCGCCGCCGCCTCCCGCCCCGCCGCCTCCACTCACCGCCGCCTCCCCTCAACCACCGCCTCCCTCACCGCCGCCTCCCCTCACCGCCGCCTCCCCTCAACCGCCACCTCCCTCACCGCCGCCTCGCAGGCGCCCAAGCCGCCGGCAAACGGCGGCGGCGCGGAGGGTGCGCCCAAGCCCTGGGTCGTCGAGCTGCGCGGCGTGGTGGGCGACGACACCGACGCCGACATCGCCGAGCAGGACGTACACAATGAGTGCTCCCCGCCATGCCCTTCTCCGAGGAGGGGGATCGCCCGAGATCACCCGAGATTACCCGAGATTAGGTGCTCCGACCTCGGGGACGTCTCTGCGGTCTCACCCCCCCCCAGATGCGGAAGACGACACAGCGATGCCTTCGAGCAAGCTCGCGTTCCATTCGGCCGTATGCGACTGCATCGCCGCCACACCTCACTGCGCAGGAGTAGCCTCTCTCCTTTGCGCGAGGCTGGCCTGCTCACGCTCTAGGTGCGGTACGCCGACGGCGCCTTTTTCGTCGAGCTGGCGGACAAGCCTAGAAGCGGAATACGTGTTCTTGTATTCCGGCCAACGCTCGAGGACGCGTCTTCACTGTATTCGACCGTATTCAGCTGTATTCGTCTCCCTCCCCTTACACGATGCTCTCCTCTGCACAATACCGCCTTCCCCGCCTTCCCGCCCTGAGGTTGGTGTATTCACCCTGTAGGCGGACAAGGCGGACGCCGACCGGGTGTGCAAGGCACTTGGCGGGCGAAAGTACCTCGGCCGCACCGTGCAGGCCAAGCTGCTGCCGCAGGATGAGAAGTAGAGCACTCTCGCGCGCGGTCGACGTCGGCTGAAGGGAGCGAGATCGCACGACCCGGTTAGCGCCCAGCGAGCGCCGTGATTGTGTGCGATACGATCCGCGGCACACACCGAGAGCGAGACGCGAGAGATGCTACAACTTATAGTACACGTTATAAGAAGCTATTTCTTGGGACTCGCTCTGCTACTATTTTTTTGCGCCGATGCAGCGAGAGTCAGCTCACGAGGGCGGTGCCAGACCCGGCGGTGATTGCAGCGGCAGAGCGTGCGGCAGCGGTGCTTGCGGCAGCGGCGCCTGCGGCAGCGGCGCTTGCGGCTGCGGTGCTTGCGGCTGCGGTGCTTGCGGCAGCGGCGCCTGCTGTGGCGGCGGTTGCTGCTGCTGTGGCGGCGGCTGATGCTGTGGCGGCGGCGGCTGCTGTGGCGGCGGCGGCGGCTGCTGTGGCGGCGGCTGCGGCTGCGGCTGCGGCTGCGGCGGCTGCGGCGCCGGCTGTGGAGGCTTCAGCTGAGGCGGCTGCAGCGGCGGCAGTTGCTGGGTGGGCGGCGGCGGCGGCGGCGGCTGAGGCGCGTCGCGCTGCCTCATCTGCAGCAGCAGCTGTTGCCGCAACGCGCGCACTGCCGGGCCGGACGTAACCGCTGAGGGCGGCAGTGCGGCGATCTCAGCGGCAAGCCCCACGCGAACCCTCTTGACGCAGGCTTGCTCTGCCTCGGTGGCGGGCGGGTCCGCGCGAGACCGCTTCGACACGAACGCCGCGAGCGCCGCGAGGTCCGCCGGCAAGTCGTCTCGAGCGGCGCCGGCAGCGGCAGCGCCCGGCGGCGCCACCGAGTCGGCTCTCGACATATAGAGCGAAAAGAATTTAAACCCCGAATTTTACAAGAAAACTCAAACAAAAGAAGTTTACAACGCCTGGCCATGCAACACTAGGCACGGGACTGGCGCGCACTGGCACTAACACAGGTACACCACGGGAGCGAAAAGAATTATAACATATTCTCGCACGACACTCGGCACAGGTCAGTCTCAACAGTGTGCCTTTGAAACGTGCAAAGGAGCAGGCTCCCGCGGGGCAGCCGCGCCAGAAACAACCCCCGACATAAAACGAAAAGTCCCGTTTTGCTGTTCACAGACGAGCTTCTCCTTCTGCATAATTTATGCTGCTGAGCCCAGCCTGCCTCTCGCGCCTCAGGGTGCGTGGGTGCCGCACGCCGGTTAGTGCAGGCGCGGCTTTTTCTGTACGGTAAAGGTTTTCGGTATACATGTAGCCTCCCGGTGAATGGGCGGCTTCTCGCGGCGCCGCGCGCCGCGCCCGCCCCCGCGCGCCGCGGCGGGCCGGCGCCGGGGGCCGCCGGCCGCCGCGCGCGGGTGAGTGTTGACGCAGTTGTGTGTTTGAGCGCGGGGTGGGGTCTGGGGAGTGGCAGTGGGGTAGCGTCTGTAGAGACGAGTATGTCGGCCGACGCTGCCGTGTGTGTCGGTCTCTCGGTGGTGTGCGTGTGCGAAGAGAGAGATTTTTAGCAATACTCGTTTGTTGTGTTCGTGTGCGTGTGCGCGTGCACAACCGGGTCCAACCCGAGAGATATTTTCTTTTCTTGTCGGCGAACGGACGTACGGTATCTTGCAGAAGGCGGCGCGAGATTGCGGCGGGATCACTCGCGGACCAACCCAATACCTCGGTAGTGTGAGGCCGACCCAAGGGGAACTAAAAGTCAAGGCCGAGACACTCAAGACAGCCTCTTTCGCGATGATGCAGCCGTCTGTCGCGCCTCCAACCAAGGCGTACCTCCTCGAGAAGAAGAGCGGCGGGATCGCCGAGATCAAGCACCGCGGCCTCAAGGAGAAGATCCCCGTCATCAAGCACCTTGGCGGCGGCGGCGGCGACGACGACGACTTGAATGGCAGGGCACCGATTCGCGCCGTCCTCCAGAAGGTGGACGTCGGGCTCAAGAAGATCACGGGCTCGATTACCGATTTGCTCGGTGACGACCTCGGCGGCTTGCTCGACAACCTCCTCAAAAAGGTCTATTCGTTCGTCAAGAACAACGCGCTCGAGCTGGTCAAGACTCTCCTTCGGGAGCTGGCCCACTGCGGTGGCCTCTTTGAGTCGCTCGAGGCGTGTGCTATCCTCGCGCCGACCCCACGCCGTCTCGGCCGCTGACCCCCCCTTTTCGCGCCGCCGCCTCCGCCCCACCCCGTTCCTCTGCCAAATCTCCCGGGCGCGCGCAGCCGCGAGCAAAGCTTCACACGAGACGCCTCCTCGCAGGGCTTCCTCCACCGCATCGCCGGCAAGGTCAACCGCACCATCGAGCAGGTCCTCCGCGCCATCAAGGGCCTCCTCAGCGGCGAACCGGTGCCGCCGGACGACCAGCAGGCATGCACACATATGCGCCGCAGACCGCCGACTCGTGTGCACTCGCACCGCCCGCAGAGCTGCTCCCCAGCGCTCCCCCGCTTGCGCCCCTGCGCCCCTCCCACGCCCCCTCCTCCGCGTGGCAGATCCTCGACGCCATCCAGGAGGACTCGGAAGGGCTCCTGCAGGGCATCCGGGCGAGCGACCCCCCCCTCCCCCCCCGCCTCTTCCTCCCTCGCCCTGCCCCGTCCCCTAAGCCACACCCACCCAACCCTTTCTCCCCGCAGGGCGGCATCGAGAGACTCCTTGGGAGGCTGCTCCCCCACGAGCTCTTTGGAAAGGTCAGACTCGCGCCCCCCTCCCCCGCGTGGCAACCCACGCCGGAACTGCCCTCACATCCCCCCGCCGCTGCCGCCGCCCTCTCGCCGCCGCCCTCGCCCCCGCCCTCGCCCCGCCATCGTCCCCGCCCCCGCCCCCGCCCCGCCGCCGTCCAAAGCCCCGCCGCCGTCCGGCAGCCGCCGCCCTCGCCCTTGCCTCCAGCCGCGCCGCCCCCGCGTCGACCCGCCCCCGTCCTGCACCACATGCCCTTGTGACCCGTCTTCTCCCCTCGCGCTCTCCACAGATCCGGGGGATGCTCAACAGAATCTTCCGCACCGACGACGCGGCGGATGGGAAGACAGCCCTCGACGGCATCTTCAATGGCTCCCTCCGCAAGCTCTTCAAGAAGCTCAACAAGTTCATCTCGTCCATCTTCGAGACGGTGCATACACAGCCGTCCATGCGCGGCCGTCGCAGACCCTCAGAGATCCCTTGCCCCCTACCTCGCCACCAACCCTGTCGCAGCCGCCCATCCCACTACCGCCTTTCCCGCCCCCACCGTCAGCCCCGCCCATCTAACCCTTCCTCGATGACGGTCGCAGCTGAACGACTTGCTCGCCAACCTCAACTCGCTCGTCGTCGGCACCCTCCAGAAGACGGGCGAGCTCGACAAGAACGTCTTCGAGGGCAGGGTCTTCAGCAGCATCAAGTCGCTCGTCCTCTACGTGCTCGGCGACACGCTCGGCTTCGTCAAGAACACGCTCAACCGGGTGGGCGGGTTCCTCAAGCGGCTCTCTGCCAACGAGGCGGCGGAGCCGGATGGCATCACCTGTAACTCGGGCTGCGGCGGCATCGGCGGCCTCATCGACCGGGTGCTTGGGCGGGTGCTCGGCCTCACCGGCAACATCCTCGAGGGCGTCTTCAAGATCGGCGAGGCGATCGAGAAGCTGCTCGGCGGAGCCATTGGCAACCTGCTAGAGCACTTCAAGAGCGGCTTCATCGGCGGGCTCGAGACGCTGCGCGGCATCATCAAGGGGCTCCTCTGCGGCTGGCTGCCCTGCATCCTGAGCAGCATCGACGCTTTCCTCTCCGAGGTACCCCCCCCCCCCTCTCGGGCCGCCGTCGACACCCCACCGCGCGCTGGCATAGCACTGATGGCTCATCCACCCTCCCGCCCACCTCCCGCCCACAGATCGCCGGCACGATCGGATGCGGCCTCGAGAAGGTGAAGAAGGGCCTGCGAGCCATCCTCCGCGGCGACGATGACGACCCCGACGCCAAGGGCGTCCTCGGCCACGCTGGGGGATTCATCCGGTCCATCATCGGCCAGGTCGGCGACGTCCTCGACGGCATCCTGCCCGGCATCCGCGGCCGCGTCAAGGGTCTGCTCGAGAAGGTCTTCGGCACCGACGAGACCGCGGGCCTGCTGCGGACCATCTTCGGGCTCGTCCGCGAGCTGGTCGGATTCGGCGACAAGCTGACCGAGCACATCCTCAGCGCGGTGACCGACGCCCTCGCCCAGGATGGCATCGACATCGATCTCCTCGGCAAGACGGGCGAGCCCTCTCTTTGCGCCCTTAGATTGCATGGAGAGGGACATTCGGAACGCCTCCTGGTCACGTCCCATAGGCGCTCTGCTGGGCCAGGTCAATGGCGCTGTCGGAGACCTGCTCGGAGACCTCTTCGGGGCGCTCTCCCCGATCGCCGAGAAGATCGGAGGCTTCCTCGGCGGCATCGACGACGCCGTCGTCGGGCTCGTCGAGCGCGTCGTCACGCGGGTGGGCGGCATCGTCCACGGCCTCGGCTGGGTGCTGGAGAACCCTTTCTCGGGCGTCCACCAGATCCTCGGTTGGGTCCGGAAGCTCGTCGGCAAGATCATCCCCGACGACGCCAACATCCTCAAGAACCTCAAGGAGCACTTCGGGGGCGACGAGATCAAGATACTCGACGCGCTGCTCGGCGCGCCACGCGCCCTCGCTACATGGTGTGCGCGGCGTTGCTTGACACATCACTGCGCTTGTGTGTTCCGATAGGAGCCGTCGGCACCCTCCTCTACTCGCTGATGGGCGGGATCCAGTCGTTCCTCAAGGGGCTAGGCCAAGACATCGGCGGCCTCCTGCGGACGATCATCGGGATGCTCGGCGGGAAGCAGCCAAGGGACGACGACGAGGAGGGCATCATCAAGGCCATCCTCGGCAAGGCTGACGGACTCGTGCACGCCGTCGTCGGCGGTGTCCGCAGCTTCCTCCGCTCGCTCCACTTCAAGAAACAGCCGCACGACGACGCGGAGGACCAGGGCCTCATCAAGACCATCCTCGAGAAGCTCAAGAAGGAGGGGGGGCTGGCCGAGCTCTTCCGGGACATCAGTGGGCTGGTTGGCTGCGTCCTCGGCCTCACCTGGTCGGTCCTGGGCGGCGTCGAGACCTTCATCCTCAAGATCTTTGGCAAGACGGACGGCGACGCGACGACGCTTCCGGCTCCGGGTGGCGTCCGCGGCCTCATTCAGTCGCTGCTCGGCACGTCCCCGCCGGCTTTTGCTGAGGTGCCGCACACGTTCGCTCTGAGCGCGTGGCCCGTGTCGATTAGGCCAATCCATCGGCATCGTCGGCAAGGCGCTCGAGAAGACCAAGGACCTGGTTGTCGCCATCCTCGGCGGCGAATGCGGGCTGGTGCGCGCCGCGCCCGCCACCCGCCACTCCCCCCCCCCCCCACCCACCCCACCCCGCCCACCTACCGCCCGCCCACGCTTCGAGCCATTTCCGTTCCGTCTTTGCAGCTGAGCTGGATCGTCGGCGACCTCGCGAACCTCATCGGCACGATTCTGCTCACGACCGGCCTGCTCCTGGGCGGCGTCGGGGGGCTCCTCTGGGGCATCTACAACGCCCTCGAGCGGTGCATCGGCCACATCCACTGCGGCATGCCGCTCTCCGAGCGCGGGCTCCTCGACATCGACATCCACCCCTGCACGATCCCGCTCGTCCAGGTCAAGCTGTGCGGCGAGCGCCACGTCCACGCAAAGCCCATGGAGGAGTGAGGCGGCACGGCGGCGGCGAGCGCTGCTCCAAGGCCGCCTTCCATGTCCCTAGAGCCATGTCCCGCGTGACCGTGACCGACCCCCAAGCACGGCGCTTTCCGCCCCGGTTTGGGTGGGGGGGGTTCCAGGTTTTGGCAGGTTTTCCCACCCCCCCCCCCCCCCCGCGTCCCACCCGCGATCCCCGACCGACGTGGCCGGCCGCCCCTGTCTGCTGCCAGCGCCGCTGGGCCAGCCAGTCGTCGAGTGACTCCCCTCCCTTTGCGTAGCACCCTTTGTACGTTTGTTGCTGCCTGTGGTCTGTTGTCCTTCTTGGTCGTCCGCGCGCGCGAACCTCGATCCGAGAGCGGAAAGGCTAGTGTCTATCTTTACCGTTTTACGGCACTAGGTAGTGACAGGTGAGCTAATTGTATATCGATCGTCGACGTACGCTGTCACGTGTCAGCGATTCGCTGTTCTTTCTTTCTCGCTCGCGTCGCTGACTGAGTTGGAGGCGACCCGGGGCGCATCTGAGTCGTGTGGTTGCGGGGAATTATAATGCGGAGGAGGCCATCTTTGTTCTTTTCACACTTCAGCCAAAAGCCGTGTAATCTGTAAAAATTCAGGCAACTACACACTACTCACTTTGTAGCAGTATAGCACTAGACACCACTGCCGAAGGAAATTACCACATTGCAGATCGCATAAATGGACTCTTGAGTGGTAACGGAGACGGTCAAGAGACTCTAGGGGAGAGAGAGTGTGTGAAGGAATCTTCCGGTGGTGGAGAGAAGTATCAGGATAAGCGATGGTGAAGGCATGGAGGAAGTACGCGAGAGAGATCGGCAGAAGTGGAGGTGTGGGTTGCTGCTACGTTCCTAAGATAGCGACAGTGATTTAGTGCTGATAACGAGACTGCAATACGTGTGCGCGTGGTGGTGTGTAGGCGTGTAGGCTTAGGCCTGTCAGCGCAGCGCGCCGTTTGAGTGAGGTGGGGCGGGATGGCGAAGAGAGAGAAAGTGTCAGTAGCGGAGGAGGATGTTGGGAGGCCGTCTGGGTCTAGCTCGGCGCTGCCGTCGGTCGCGAGGTCAGTGACGTAAGCTGAAGAAATCTCGGGGACGGTGGGGTCTGATATGATTGGGTGATGAATGACGGAGGAGATGCGGGTTTGGGAGGGTATGGCTTCACTAGTCGTTGGAGTTAGCCGAATGATCACGCGCGCGTGCAGGCGAACAGGGTAAGGGAGGCGCCTTGGCGACGCCGCGAATCCAGTCGATCTGCGCGCACGGCGGTAGAGCGAGGGTCGAGTCGATCGGCGTCCAGATGTCGTTCTGCAGGTACTGATATGGCGCCTCCGGGTCGCAGCGGCTCTTGTGGTGCGCGTCGCGTACCACAGTGGCGTGACGTTCTGAAGTCGGCGTAGCTGGAGCTTGATTGCTTCGGCGGATCGGCTACTCACGCGAATCTCAGTGATCTTCGCGCCGCTCTGGTACGAGTGCAACAGGAGGCGGTCCTCCTCGATCGTCCACGGAGTGTATAGTTTGAGTTCATCGACACGTTTTTTCGCGCGTGCAGCTTCACGAGAGCGTCCTCGACCCACGGCTGCAGGCTTGCCTCGGTGCTGTGCAGCTGCGTCTCGCCCATTTGTTGATCCTCGCACATTCCGCACATCAGAAGGATAGCTCGTCGATACCGGCGAGGCCTCGGAGCACATCTTGCCATCGACGCTGAACTGCACGCGGCTTTTTTGCAGGTGGTGGAAACGGCCACTGCTCTGCCACCTTGGGCAATGATATTTTGTCGCGGACATGGCGTAATAGCACAAAAGCGTCCATCTCTGGTCGCCACGGGCTGGCGCTGAGCGCTGTGCTTCGAACGACGGGTTGAGTGCACGGCCATGAGGCTGCGTCGCAGCGCATCGGGAAGAGGTGATATGTAGTCCTCTTGCACCACAGGGTCGGTCGAGAAGGGACCGCCGTTCATGGCAGCGAGAGCGTAGAGGAGCAACCTGTGCATTGCCAGCACAGAGCCAGCAACGCCGCCTCGAATCGGTGAGGGGATCGTGGCGGCGATTGGTTGGACACGTCCCTGTGACCCTGTCCCTTCGACGCGGCGAACTCGGGACCCATGACCCTTTTGGAAAAATGCTCTCCAGAAGACTGTGTGTGTGTGTGTGTCACTCACTCACTCCAGAAGACTTCAGTTGTAAAAAAGTTCAAGGAGTCGGACGAGGATGAGCAGGCGTGGTAGAAGCCGTGAGCCCGCCGCGACACGGGGAGATAAGCAGTCGTGCTCGCGGTTGTTCCATGCAACTACCCTCTACCAGTACAGATGAATATCTTCCAGCAGACGTTGCGTGTAGAGGAGGTCGCATCAGCTCCGCTCGGGGAACGGCACATTGGAACGGTGGCCGCGGCGCGCTGCTACTAGACAACCGCGCGGTCCGCAGCCCAGTCGACTCCGAACCCGTCGGCGGTCGGCGGGAAGAACGCGTCGGGCAATGGGTCGTCCCGGAGCGGCCCCTTTGGCGGGCTGCGCTGCGAGAAGACGTGCGTCGAGAGCCGGCAGCGGCCCGCGCCGCCCGCGGCGATGTACTTGTCGTAGAAGCCGATCAGCCCGTCGCGCGTCACGCGGCGCATCCGCTTGGACGAGCGCCACGGCCGCCCAAAGTCGTAGCGGCGCGTCGCAACCTCCGCCCAGAGGCGGGAGGCTTGCCCGTCGGCTCGCTGGTCGACGTCCTGCATCTGCGCCGCGAGCGACTCGCGGTAGGTGTCTAGCTCCTCGTCCGAGGTGAGCAGAAGCGTGCCGCGGAAGAGGCGGAGGAAAGCCTCGAGCCGCGCCTGGTGAAGGGCGGGAGGCTGCGAGAGAGAGAGAGAGAGCTCTGGGCATATCTCGGAAGCATCTCAGGCGACCTCGGTCATCTCCCACGAACTCCGGGGACAATCTCGCGGCGGCTGCACCATGGAGAGATATGGGGAGATATGGGGAGATCGCGCCTCCAGCTCGGGCGGCGGCTGCACCGACGACTGCACGATGAAGACGAGGCCACGCACTCCGTCCGCCTCGGTGGAGCCGCACTGCACAATGTACCCCAGCTGCTGCTTGGTGCGCAGCTCAGCATAGACCGCCTTGAAAGAGATAGGGAGATATGGGGAGATATGGGGAGATATGGGGAGATATGGGGAGATATGGGGAGATATGGGGAGACGCTCGGCGTCGCCGCCTTGTCTATCATCTGCGAGAGGAGCAGCAGGTGCAGCCAATCGTCGCCCTCGTCGGGGCCCACCTGCAGGCAGGCAAATGACGACTAGTCTGACCAGCGACTGGACACCGGGCGGTAGGGGTGGACGCAAGCGAGACGGAGAGACGGCCGCACTGGAGCGACACAGACACACAGATTAGACACTCAGCCACACGTACACGCTCACGGACACGCACACGTCCTGAGTGAGCGTACGGCACTGCGAACGAGGGTCGCGTCCTCCCGGTCGCCCCCCACCTGCAAGTGCGTCTCCCCATATCTCCCCATATCTCCCCATATCTCCCACCTGCAGGTACATCTCGAGCGCCCCGTTGGGCTCCTCGGGGTTGCCCGCCAGGAACTGGCGCGTCGCGCCGCCCGGGGGCAGCCGCCGCAGCCGGCGGATGGGCAACCTTTCCGCGGCGAGCGGCGCCGCCGGCAGCGCGGCGCGAACGCCCCGCACCATCTCGGCCGCCTCGTTCTCGCGCAGATTGCCCGCGACAAACGCCTCCAGCTGCGCCTCGCGCAGCACGCCCTCCTGCTAGTGTGGATACCTCACGCCAACCTCAGGGCAGGAGGGCGGCCTCGTGCCGTGTATTCGGAGCACCACGTGAAGAGGAGGGTTGCAAATACAGTGCGTAGAGCGGAATACGGCCAAATGCGGCGGGACGGTACAGGAATGCGCATTCCGCTTCTAGAGCCCTCCTGCATCGCGGCGACGTCCGAGAGGGAGACCTCTCCCGCCGCCGCCGCCAGCTGCTCGTTGGAGAAGCGCGCGGGCTGCAGCGCGAGCCCGCGCCGGTAGCCGGCGAGCGAGATCGGTTGCCGCCGCTCCGCGTCGCGCAACTGGCGGCGCAAGATGTCGACCTTGCGCTCGAAGGCAGCCGGCGTCGGCTCAAACGAGCGGACCGTCGACGCGACCAGCGTGGCGAGCGCGGGGAGCCGCTCGTCGTACCTGCGGCGGGGTGATGGGGGAGATGTGGGGAGACGTGGGGAGGTGTGAGGAGATATGGTCAGATGTGGGGAGACGTGGGGAGATGTGGGGAGACGTGGGGAGATGTGGGGAGACGTGGGGAGGTGTGGGGAGGTGTGGGGAGGTGTGGGGAGGTGTGGGGAGGTGTGGGGAGGTGTGGGGAGATGTGGGGAGATGTGGGGAGATGTGGGGAGACTCGTCGTACCCGCCCAGCTGGACCGTAAACGCGTCTGAGCTCACGCCCGACGCCGCGACCAGGCCTGCCTGCGGTCGGTTAGTCAGTCAGTGTTACGCACGTCCTAACACGTCGACGGGGCACACGCACTCGCAGAGCACACACGGGGCGGTGTGTGCTTTCTCATGGAAAGGCATCCCACAGACATCAGTGCAATAGTCAGAGGGGTCCCCCAGGCGCGCCTGCGGAGGCGCGCCGGCTGTGGCTGCGGCTGCGGCGGCTGCGGCGGCTGCGGCGGCTGCGGCGGCTGCGGCGGCTGCGGCGGCGGCGGCGGCGGCTGCGGCGGCGGCGGCGGCGGCGGCTGCGGCGGCGGCGGCGGCGGCGGCGGTGGCGGTGGCGTCGGCGGTGGCGGTGGGGAGGGCGGCGGGGAGGGAGGGGGTGGTGAAGGTGGCGGCAGGCTGGATGGCGATGGTGGTAGCGATCGAGGTGACGGAGGAGAGGGTGGAGAGGTGGTGGTCGCACCTGCGCCGCCTCATAGGTCGCCTCCTGCAGCACCTCCGCGAGCATGCCCGCGAAGAGCTCGGCGGTGACTGCGGTGCGCGCCGACGTGTAGAACTCGGGCGAGCGCCACAAAAAGTACGCCTGCATGTGCATGTCATGTAACACGCCAGCCTCAGGGCGGGGATACGAGGGATACGAATACGGCGGCAGCGGCGGCAGAGAAGGTGGCGGCCAAGGCGGAGGCTGAGCCGGACAATGCGCCGATATAGCGCCGATACGCCTCAGTCTAGATAACAAAGCTGCCATCGGTATACAACCGAATCGGCCGAATGCTGTTGGAAGACAAGAACCCGTCTTCCGCTTCTATGGAAGAGGGCGAATGCGCGCGGCCGGCCGAAGGTGCGGTCGGGCAAGAAGTGGACGCGCGCGCCTGATCTCGGGCAATCTCGGGTAATCTCGGGTCATGGTAATCTCGGGTAATCTCGGGCAAGAAGTAGACTCGCGCGCCTACTGGTGAATACACCAACAGTCAACCAGTCCGTCACGCACACGCACACGCACACACGCTGCGCACGAGTGGCTCAGGCGCCGACACGAGACACACTGCCACCGGCCGAGTCAGTGGGTCTTGACTGCTGGGCACATAGCTCGCGGCTCACAGGGGCAGCTCATGAAGTGGCGCTACGTGGTGGGGGGTCTCGGGGGGACTCAGAGCACCGCGTGAATACACCGGCTACGAGTACAGAGGAGCTACAGAGGCCCTCTCGTCCTCTCGAGCGCTAGTTGGAAGACAAAGGTCTGTATGCCCCTTCTAGGCGCAGGAGCCGTCGGCGGCGGGCAGCAGCGACGGGGTCGGGCTTGGCACGCCCTCCTTGCGCGGCAACGTCTGTGGCGCCTGCCACGGCGAGCCGGTGCGAGCGTGTCGTGGACGTGTCGTGGGCGTGTCGTGGGCGTGTCGTGGACGTGTCGTGGACGTGTCGTGGGCGTGTCGTGGGCGTGTCGTGGACGTGTCGTGGGCGTGTCGTGGGCGTGTCGTGGGCGTGTCGTGGACGTGTCGTGGGCGTGTCGTGGGCGTGTCGTGGGCGTGTCGTGGACGTGTCGTGGGCGTGTCGTAGCGTGCCGAGGGACATCGAGGGACGTGTCCAGGGCCAGCCTTGATGGCGAGCCACTTGGGAGATATGGAGAGAAGGGGAGATATGGGGAGATATGGGGAGATATGGGGAGATATGCCTTGATGGCGAGCCGCTTGGGGATGAACGGGTTCGGGCGCGGCAGCGAGAGCTCGGGCAGCAGCGGCGCCGCCTCCCACGCCGCAACCTCGCCCTCGATCGGCTGCCGGCCGTACCTGATGCCCCAAGATGCCGCGAGATCAGCCGAAGTGGCCCGGAGTGGCATCTCGATCGGCAGCCGGCCGTACCGCGTTCCGTAGATGGGCTCGCTCAGCGGCGCCTTGGGCGCCACCTCCTTGGCGCAGACCTCGACCATCGCGGCGCGAGGCGTCATCCCGCCGAGCAGTTGGCGGAGGGTGGGCGGACCCCCCGCCCCCTCGAGCAAGGATGGCCCGCTCAGCCATGCGGCGGGCCGATAGAGCGGCATCGACGCGGCGGTGGCGGTGACGAAGGCCTGCGGCTGCGACGGCTCGGCGTAGCGGAAGCCAAGCTGTGCAAGCGCCTTAGCGTCGTCAAACACGTGGGACGGCACGCCTATGGGGAGATGTGGGGAGATGTGGGGAGATATGGGGAGATATGGTCAGATGTGGGGAGATGTGGGGAGATGTGGGGAGATGTGGGGAGACGTGGGGAGATGTGGGGAGATGTGGGGAGATATGGTCAGATGTGGTCAGATGTGGTCAGATGTGGGGAGATGTGGGGAGATGTGGGGAGATGTGGGGAGATGTGGGGACGGCACGCCCTTCTCGCGGCATAGGCGCAAATAGGAGAAGAGGTGGCCCATCGCCGTCGGCCACGCGGCGAGGCCCGCCTCGGTGAGGGCGAGCGAGGCGGTGACGACGGCGAAGGAGCGCGTCTGCTCCTCGACGCCGACCTCGATCGCCGTGCCGAGCCCCTCTCTCTTGAGGAGGGAGAGGAGGGACCCGTCGGCGCGCGCGGTGAGCAGCTGCGAGAGGGCGACCTGCGGCTTGCAGACGAGCCATGTTCTTCCCTGACCACCCCATATCTCCCCATATCTGGGCGACCTGCGGCTTGCAGGCGAGCCATGTTCTTCCCTGACCACCCCATATCTCCCCATATCTGGGCGACCTGCGGCTTGCAGGCGAGCCACGTGTCGAAGTCGGCGACGGGGAGGCACCTGCAGCGTGCATACACCAACATCAGGGTCACAGTCTCCAGCCGTGTGTTCAGAGCCCTTAGCTCCCCGGCCCTGGGTGTGAGGCTACCGACTGCGGTCCGAACACCGGTCCATCGTGCCACGCGGGCGCGAGGGCGCTGCGGAGGCGGGCGGCGGTGGCGGAGGGTGCTGCAGCAGCACACGGGCGGACGGCGGCGCGCGGGCGGCGGTGGGGCCGCGCGAGTATAAGGGCTGAAGAACCGCCGAAGACCGCCGAAGACGTTCGAACACGTTGCTCACCTCGCGAGTACTAAGGCGGACTATTCTGCATGCAGCTCTCGGCGGGAGAGCACCATGTCGCAGACACGGCGCGTTGCTCGCGCACCTGTGACGGCGGCGGCGGCAGTAGTGCTGGCGGTGACAAGGGCGGCTCGGGTGCTTGCTCAAGCACGGGGGCGTGTGCTCCGCGTCGAAGCGCAGCGCAGGACGAGCGTAGGGCGAAAGGACTCCTCTCGGCGAATCTCGGCGAATCTCGGCGAATCTCGGCAAATCTCGGCGAATCTCGGCGAATCTCGGCGAATCTCGGCAAATCTCGGCGAATCTCGCGCACGGGCACGACAAGCGTCGCGAAGGGCGAAGCGACGGCGCCGCTGCCGAGGCCGCCGCCTTGGTCGGGCGACAGCGGCAGGCCGAGCGGGTCGTACTTTGCGGAGGCGGGCGGGCCTATTGGAATGGCGATTGGCGGACTCATTGCTGCCCTTCTCTGGCAAGGGAGGCGCGTGCCCGGGATGAAAGGGCGGATGAGGAGGAGTCGGTGGACTAGAGCGATCAGCTGGAGGCGGGCCGGGGCGCGATGGCAGCCGCGAGAACTGCTCTGTGGCCAGGCGCTGCAGCTCGTCGAGCGACTGAGGGCCGAGGAGCGAGAGGTATGGTGAGATATGGAGAGAGAGAGACAGAGACAGAGAGAGAAAGCGAGAGAGGTGTGTGCGATAAGATCTTGATATGGACGAGAGATATGGACGGGAGATGGCGTTTGGGGCCCCGGTTGTGTCGCGTCCCGTGCCCCCGAGTTCATGTTAACAAGTGTGGCGAGCCTGCGGGCCTCTGATGTCCAGTGCAGCACATGTACTCTTGGTGTGTGTGCTGTGGGCCCTCCTTGTCTCTGCAGTAGACCGTGTGAGGTAACACCTTCCTACCGGCGAGCCTGCGGGCCGAGCAGCGAGAGATCCATCTGGTCGGCGCGGTAGTACTCGCCGTAAAAGTCGAGCAGCGCCGCGCGTGCGCCGCCGCCGCCGTCGCGCAGCGTCGCGCGGTTGCCCGTGAAGAAGCCTAGTACCGTACCTCCAGAGTCTCGAATCGAGCGTGGGTTCAGTCCCGTGGTGGTAGCAGGTATGCGGCGAGCCGTTGTAGGGGTGGCCCGACACGCCCCGCGTGGCGCGCAGCAGCTGCTCGGTTCGCCAGCCGTCTGACTGGATGTTTTTCGAGTGCTCCGACTCGATCGCCGCAACCTCGCGCGCCGTCGCAGACTCGGTGAAGAGCGGCGCCGCGAAAAAGTCGGAGAAGCGCGCGAGCGCGCCCGGCAGCGCGCCGGCGCCCACGTCGAAAAAGTAGACCGTCTCCTCCGAGTCGGTGTATGCGTTGTTGGAGCCGCCATTTGAGGCGATGTACGACTCAAAGTCTCCCTCGTCGGGGTAGGAGGCCGTGCCGAGGAAGAGCATATGCTCGCAAAAGTGGGCGAGCCCCTGCCACGCCTCCGGATTGGACATGGAGCCGACCGCAACATTCATGGCTGCGGCGGCCTTGCCGGCAGCCGGGTCAGAGGCGAGCAGGACCTGAAGCCCGTTCGCAAGGCGCAGCCCACGGTAGGAACGCCGGTCCAGGGCGGCGGAGGCAATCTCGTAGACGGCGACGCCGGCGCCGGCCGCTGCCGGCGCGGCGGCCGGCGCCTTGCGCAGAGGCAGCAGCACGGAGGCGGCAGCGCCGTGCGAGAGAAGCGTACGGCGATTGATCCAGAGGCCGTGAGCCGGTGGCAGCGCGGCGGCGGGAGAAGCCAGCGCAAATATGCAAAGCTTTTTGCGGGGTATGGTATGGTATGCTCGCGCAACCCACCTCGAGACCATACCCCCCCCGCCTGCTGACAGACCCAGCCTCCCGGAGACCGGGGATGGGCGGTCAGGACCATACCCCCCCACCCTTTGGGCCGCGAGGGTACCATACCATACCCCGCAAAAAGTTGGAACCCTGGCCTGCCGCATCAATGACTGTGCCGTACGAAAGTGTGAACAGCTCTCGCGCGCCGCCGTCAGTGGCGATGCGCAAAACATCAACAACGCTGCTCGCAACATGCGTGTCGCGCACTCATTCATGACCGGTCTCAATGCCCCACCCCCCTGCGCGCGGGCCTTCTAAGCCCGCGGGTAGTCCCCCCCCATCCCCAGGGCCTCCAGGGCTCGCACCTCAACCTCTCACAGGCCAGCGCACAGCGCCATAGGAGGTATTTTCTTCTCAATAACAAGGCTGTGAACGGTTGGAGCAGCAGCTCCTGAGCGGCGCCGCAGGCGCCTGTTGATACGTACAGGTGATAGCCCTGCATGGGCAATGCATACGCCTAGTTGGGCCTCAGATCGCCCGACCGCGTCCCGGTGCTCTGCCGTCGGATTTGTGACTCCGCCGCACCGCGCCGCGGCCGGGGGCCCTCGGAGGCCGAGGATGGCCGTGACGGACCGGGACGAGCTCTGGGAGGTGGAGTGTCAGTGTATATATTGTAGAGACCAACCATGTCCACAATAATCAATATCTCTCAATCTAGCTAAGCCAGGGGAGGCGATGCCGGGGCCGTACAGCAGCTTGATGGTGCTTCGCCGGCGTGCGTCCCGGAGCGGTGCCGGACGGGCGGTCCTTGGGAGGAAAACGAGGGACAGCGCCGACGGCGCTCTGATTCGACTTTTAACTTCAAACAAAGACAGTGGCACGCGCCGCAGCGCGGTGCGTGCCACTGTCAGGAGCGGATCCGTCAGTTAGTCATGTTCACGCCGGCATCGTGTCCCTCACAACCTGGGCAGACTTTAGGCCACAACAGTAGATGTGCTGGCTGCTGCCCCGCGCCACCCACCCACGCAAAGTACTCGGAGAGTCGGAGAGAGAGAGTTTGAGAGAGTTTGTTTGAAGTACTCGGTCCCGAAGCGCCAGTACGCGGTGTGATGGTGCATGCGCCAATCCTGCGGCGCGGGGCTGGGGCCCTCGGCAGAGGCGCGCGTCAGGTGAGGCAGCCACGCCTTGAAGAGCACGGCGGTCCAAAATGGGCGCCTCGATGACCTCTCGTGGCCGTAGCACCTTGAGCAAACTCAACGGCCCACTCTTCTTGATCGTCTGCTCAACGACGTGCGATCGCGGTGCTGCATGTGTTTATCGGGAGGGATGTCATCTCTCTCGGGTTGACTCGGCCACATAAAACCCTACCGTTCAGGTGCCCAGTGAATGAATTCCCCAGTGTTGTGCAAGGGAGACAGGGAGCACTTGGAGTACAGACAGGGAGTTGGGGATACCCATCACTGAGCCGACGATGCTCCGGGTAGCCCCACCCAGGGTGGCGCCCACCCCCATACCCTCGGGCACTTGCCTGCGCCCTCGCGCGCTAGCCCACGCCCTGCCCCACAAGATCTCACTCCATCCCGGCCTGCGGCATACCTCGGCACCCCCTTGCACGGAATTTCAAAACGCCCAGGTACCCTGCTCAGACCGGCGAACGAAGCGCCACACAGTGCCACGCAGTGCCGCACAGTGCGGCGTGCGCGCGGGCGTGCGCGGGCGTGCGCGGGCGTGCGCGGCATGCGCGGCCAGGGCGCAGGCAAGTGCCCGAGGGTATGGGGGTGGGCGCCACCCTGGGGCTACCCGTAGCATCGTTGGCTCAGTGATGGGTTCCTGGCTTCTTTCTGTCTGATGGGTTGGCTCAGTGATGGGTTCCTGCCAGTGCGCGCCAGCCAGCCAGTCCCGTGCCCACCCAGTGTTGTGCGATGGAGCGTAAAAAGAAACAAACACGAACCATTGAGGAATGGGAGAAACGCTGTTGGCGGCAATGCCGAGTAATCTACTCAGAGCGGTGGTTGAGGCCGATTGCCTCAACTGTCAACCACGTGGTTGACAGAGGCCTCAACCCTCAACCAAGTGGTTGACAGACCCCTTCAACCCCTCAATCAACCACGCGGAATGGCTGTTCACCCCCCCCCCCCCGCAAAGGTAACACGCATTCTCTGTGAACCATTCATGTCGTCTTCTTTAACGCCTGGATGCTGCATCACACCTCCCATTCACGCACGTAGCTGAAGCAAGTATCGTAAAAACGGCGCGTCGAAGGCCCCCGCACGGGGGGATCCCGGCCGACGTCATGGTCGTCCGCGGACGCGGCCCTCCGTCTCCGGAGACATTACCGAACTCAAAACTGCTTACCAAAGCCAGATACGAGCTCAGCTCAGTGAGATCTAGCAGCACATACCCTCAGTATCCAGAATAGCAAAGTCTGAAAAAGTCGGTCCGACCGCGCAGAGCGGTCTGGCTGTCTGCAGAGCTTCCGTCCGAGCCCTGAGAAATGTCGGAGGCATGTCGGCCCATGTTCGCGATTTTGATGGCGTTGCCCTTATTGCACGTGAAACAGACCGCGCCGGCCACGCACCCTTGTTCCCGGAGGCCAACTCGAACAGGTTTGAGCAATTGCCGCCTTCCATGCTCGACACGTCCGCCCGCCATCAAGTTGTACGATGAAAAATGCAGCAGGAACTTAGTTGCCTCGAAGGCCGCCCTGCTCGAAGGCCGCCCTGCTCTCGGCATTGTGTTGTTGACTGATAGCACTGTCTGATCCAACCAGAAAGAGCCGTCGAAGAGCCGTCGAGAGCTACATGAGACCCAAGTCGTCATGAGTACCAGAAAACGAAACTAGCGCCAAAATTGAGATCTCAGGATTGACATTAATTTCTCGCGCCTGCTTTCGCTGCTTGAGGCTCGCCAAACAGATACTGCGTCTATGGCCGTGTGCAACGTCAAGTCGATATAACCGCGACAAGACCATCGCGCCAACCGCGACTCTGTTGCTTTTATGCGGCAGCATTCACCGTGACTCTTGCCGTGAATGGTTAGTGACCGCAATACTACGCCGTGAGCTGAGCTTCACCAGCCGTTTATCTTCCTTCCCTTGCCTTCTCTTGCCGTCCGTTCTCTGTGCGCATTCCACTGCATGCATGCGACATCACAAGCGTCTTCTGCCGGGCGCGCATCTGAACTCGTACCTGGTAGGCCATCGCTTTGCTGAAGGATCAGGCGCCTGAATGGCGACAGTGAGCGTCTCCTACTTATGGATTGCGCTCAAGGTACGAGGACCGCAAGAGCGCGCCGCAGGCGAAGCGATTTTTTTGGCGGCAGGGCTGTTCCAATCTTGTGATCACGCGCGAGCCTGTGAATAGGCCCCGGAGGCCTCAACCCCCAACTAAAGGGTTGACGGGGGGTCTCAACCGTCAACCAGATGGTTGAGGGGGGGCCTCAACCCTCAACCCGTCAACCACCACTCTGAGTGGAGAGTAAATTCTTGCGCGAGTCTGTGTGTCGGCGGCGGACGCACGAGGGCCAGGAGAGCGACAAGCTGTCACCATGGCGGACGCTGCTCCCGGCCTCCGGCTCCTCCAGCTGGTCGAGGAGTGTAGGCTCAAGGCGGAGGCAAATGCAGCCACCGAGGCCCTCCTGCGTGCCGCCACGGTCGCCGCCGGCCGCAACTCCGGCTCTGCGAACGACGGCGAGGGCGGAGGCACCGCGTCGCCACTCTCCTCCCACTTTTCCTCTGAATTTATCGCGTTGGGCAAGACCGCCAATGAGGAGGATGACAGCGACGGTGCCCGCCTGCCTCTGCACACAACACATCGCAGGGCCAGCACCTGCCGCCGCACCCGACATCCCCTTCCTCCGAACAAAGGCGCGGCCCACCTCTTTGCTGCTGCTTTTGTGCTGCTGCCGCGCGTGTCCACTCTCTTCTCGTTCGCCAACATGCGCCTCAAGAAGGGGCGGGTGCACGCTGCGCGGGAGATCTACCGGCGAGTGGCCGACGCAGAGCACAATGATGACGGCACAGTCCCCACATAGCCGCTCACGCCCCAACGCGAACCATCTCAGTGCCCAATCGCCCCTCCTCGCCACCCGCAGGACTTCCAGCATCGCCGTGGCCGTGCCCGCCGCCGCTCCCGAAAGAGGTGCTGCTCGCGCGCAAGAAGCTCGGTGAGACCGCACCTGCCGCCGCAGCAGAGGCTGCTGCGGCGGCGGCGGCCCGTTGTGGCGGCGGCGGTGGAGGCAGTGGCGGCGGCGGCGGCGGTGGCGGTCGAGATGCGGCGGGCGCGGCGGACGCGGCGCGCGCCGCAGAGCTTCGAAAGGCCTTGGAGGCGAAGGCGGCTGCCGAGGCCCGCGCCGCCGCCGCCGAGGCGTCGGCCGCGGAGATGCGGAGGGGCGGCGCGTGCGCGGCTGAGGCGGCGGAGCGCGCGCTAAGAGGGCTGCGTGAGGCGCTCTCCCTCCCCCGTGTGCCTCTTGAGCTCGCCATCCGGCCGCCTCGCACGCCGCCCTCCTCTCAGCGAGCCATCGCGGCAGGGATGCCATCGCCTCCTTCTTCGCCGCTGCCGCAGCCGCCGCGAAAGCGCCTGGGCGCCGCCGGCGCTCTCGCGCTGCCCATCGCCATCCTCTGGGCTCTCTGCTGCCGCATCTTCTCGAGGCGGCGGCTCTCGCGGCTTCCCATTACCGGTCCGTTTTGGTGAGAGGCTGGACTTTTGGCTTTTGCGCCAGCGCGATTGCGTGACGCGCGGGCGGGCAAGGAGCCCGCCCCGTACCGCCCCCCCCCCCTTGGCTTCCCTCCCGGATTCGGCGCGTGTCGGCGACGCATGTATAGCACAAACCGCTGAGATACCGCTGTGGGGGCACGCACGTGCTCTCGTCAGGCCGTCGGCATTGTTTCACCACTGACACGTCTCTCTCACACGACCTCAGAAAGAACGTCTCCACTGTCACGTGTGCCCACGGTCGGTCGCCTCGACTCTCACGCGCTCGCGGCGCGCTTGCGCTTCTTCTCGCGCTGCGCGACGGCGGCCTCATAGCCACCAAACTCGTAGTCGATGCCCGCCGCCTCGAGCTTCCGCCGCTTCTTGCGCTCGCCAGCGAGCAGCTTCTTCTCGAGCGCCGTCGCCTCGTCTGCCGTCCGCTTCTGTGCGGCGAGGAAAGCGGGGCGGTGGTGGGCGATAGTGAGGGCGGCGGCGGCGGTGGCGGCGGCAAGGGCGGCGATCGGGCGGAGCTGCAGTGGGGGAGGAGAGTGAGGCGAGGGAGGCAGCTCGGAGGGGAGGCGCGCGGCGCGGGTCGGCACGGGTCGCTGCCGGACACCTTGTTGTGCGCCACCCGCTCGCGCTTTAGCCGGTTGACCGGCGTGAACGGCTTGCCGCTGCCCTTGAACATGTTCGGGTGCAGCTGGGGCGGCGGAAGGGGAACGTGTGCAACTGCGAGTGATAGATCTCGCCGAGGGAGAGGGCCGAGATGGGGCCGAGAGAGGGCGAGCCGGATGCCGGGCGCGCTTGCAAGGGGAAGGGCTCTCGGAAGTGTCGCCACCTGCTCGTCTGGCACGACTTGGCAAACCAGGATCTTGGTGAACATGAGGTAGCCATTCATCGCCTGTGCGACAATGCTCGCCACCTCCGCGTGCGCAAACTCCACGAACGCGTAGTGCTTGGACGCGCCCGTCTTCTTGTTACGCGCCAGCCGGAGCCTTGTCACATCACCAAACTGCGAGAAGAAGCCGCGCATCTGCTCCTCATAGAAGCCGTGCGGGATGTGGCCGAGGTAGAGGACGGTGCCGGACCCACTCGGCCCGCCCTTGTCCGCGCTCGCCGCCCGCTTCTTGATCCGCTGCGTAATACTCGCCGCCGTCTTTGCATCGACCACCATGTCGATCCGTTCAGCGGGCGGCGGCTCCTCGGACGCTGGCTTCGCCTTGGCGGCGGACTTGCCGGACGCCCGCTTGGAAGGCGCCTCGCCGGCGGCCACGGCCTTTGTGCTGCGCTTCAGCTTCTTGGCCCCGCCCTGACCGCCCGCCATAGCCACAGACAAGCGCCGCCGCCAGCCGGAAGGCAAGAGTGTTGAGTTGCTGCACGAGGCCCAGCAGAGAGGCAGAGAAAAAGAAAACGGGAAAATCGTCTCCCTTGCGTCGTGCCTCCCTGTGTTTGTAGCCTGGCGTCTGTGCCCCGTTTGTGCCGCGTCCCGTGCCCTCGAGTTCATTTTAATCCCCTGCTTCTTGTGTTTCGGTTCTGCTTTTCCGTGCCAGTGCGCGCCCCGTGTGCCCACCCAGTGTCGTGCGAGGGAGCTTCGTCGTAAAATTCTTTTCCGAAAGAATAGCTTCTGCCATATGTTACAGGTCCCACAAGTATGGGCTCGGGACGTATTCACATCAGTGTGATGGGGGATAACCGTGATTTCTTTTTCCAGGGGGAATGTGTGCGTACGTCCCACCAGTAATATATGTGTGTATATGTCTTCCAGCGTTCCTCAGCCACAGGCGCCGTGCGAGGTTTGTTTGTTGCCGTGCGTGGCTTCGGTGTTGCGAGGCGACGAAGCGGCGGTGCGTTCGTGGCTCGAGAGAGGCGGGCGAGCAAACACCGCGCGCGAGAATGGCGAGATAACCGGCTTTACCCTGCTGATGGACGCCACCAGCCAGGGCCACGAGCGGGTGGCCGCCTTGCTGCTGCAGCACGGCGCAGAGGTCGACATGCAGAGCAGCGTCGGCGCCACCGCGCTGATGCTCGCCGCCATCGGCGGCCACGAGCGGGTGGTCGAGCTGCTGCTGCAGCGTGGCTCTGAGGTCAACCTGCAGGACAGCAAATGTCGCACCGCGCTGATGCACGCCGCCAGCCAAGGCCACGAGCGGGTGGTCGAGCTGCTACAGCGCGGCGCGGAGATCGACTTGCAGGACAGCAATGGCGCCACCGCGCTGATGCTTGCCGCCATCGGCGGCCAGGAGCGGGTGGTCGAGCTGCTGCTGCAGTGTGGCTCTGAGGTCAACCTGCAGGACAGCAAAGGTCGCACCACGCTGATGTATGCCGCCCTCAAAGGCCACGAGCGGGTGGTAGATGTGCTGCTTCGGCAAGGCGTGGAGATCAACAAGCAGAACAGCAGAGGCGTCACCGCGCTGATTGACGCTGCTCAGCACGGCCACAAGCGGGTGGTCAAGTTGCTGTTGCGGGGCGGCGCAGAGGTCAACCTGCAGAGCAGTAGCGGCAGCACCGCGCTGATGGGCGCCGCCGGCAGCGGCCACCAGCGGGTGGTCGAGTTACTGATTCGGCACGGCGCGGAGGTCAACGTGCAGCACAGCAACGGCTTCACCGCGCTGATGGGCGCCGCCGCCAGCGGACACCTCCCCATCGTGCTCTGCCTGCTGCTGGCAGGCGCGGATACAAAGCTGCGCACTGAGACTGGCAAGTCCGCGCTACAGATGGCCAAGGCGGCCAAGCTGGCTACTGCCGACGCTGGCGCCGCCACTGCAACGGACCACGCCAGGTGCGTGCGCGCTCTCACAGAGCACGCAGCGGCGCTGAGGGAGGCGGAGGCGACAGAGAAGGCGGCAGAGAAGGCGCTCGAGGCCAAGGGGCGGCGCGAGCAGCGCGAGCGGGAGGAGGCGGCGACGGCGCGAGAGCGCGAGCAGGCGGCACGCAGGCGGGAGGCAGAGCGAGCGGCGGACAGGGAGCGCCGGGCGGCGAATGCGGCGGCGCTGGAGGAGCAGAGGCGCGCCATTGCGGCGGAGGCGGAGGCGAAGCTGGCCGCTGAGCGCGCGGCGGCAGAAGAGACGCTGCGGGCGAGGGAGGCGGGGAGGCGAGCAGCAGAGGAGGCGCAGCTTGCGGAGCAGCGGGCGGCGGCGGCGGCGCGCAAGGCGGCTAAAGCAGAGGCGGAGCGGCGCGAGAAGGAGGCTGCTGATAAGAGGGCGGAGGAGGAGAAGGCGAAGCGGCTGGCGAAGGCAGCTGAGAAGAAAGCGGTTAGAAAGGAGGGCAAGGCGAAGAACAAGGAGGCCAAGAAGGCGCCGCCTGCCTTCAAGCTCGAGGAGGAGCGGAGGGCGAAGGCTGCGGCAGAGTTTCGCGAGCAGGAGGAGAAGGCGGCGCGGCTGGCTGCTGAGCAGGAGGCGGCGAGGCGAGCGGAGAGCGAGGCGGCAGAGCGAGCGGGTGCGGCGGAGCGGGCGGCGTTGCGTGAGGCTGCGGAGCTAGCAGAGGCGCTGCGCCGGTCGGAGGTGGATGCGGAGGAGGCGCTGGCGCGTCGGGTGTCGCGGTGTGAGGAGGCGGTGAGCAGCGAGTCGACCGGCGGCGGCGGGGACTTGCAGCGGCTTGTCGATCGGCTGGAGGCGAGCCTCGGCGCGGCGACCGAGGGTAGCCTCGAGGAGCGGGTCAGCGCCATCGAGCGCTTGATCGGGCCAGAGGCGGAAGAGGCGGCGGAGCAGCCTCTGCCAGTCACCGAGCCGCTTGCCGCCGTCTCTCTAGCGGACGCTGGCCTCGACACGGGGCGGCCGGCTGCCCCAGAGTCCACCATGGGAGGCGAGACGTCGTGCATCATATGCTTCGAGCGGGCTAAGTCTCACCTCGCGGTGCCGTGCAGCCACTTGTGCGTCTGCGGTCCATGCTCCGAGCTGATGCGAGAGTGCCCGTATTGCCGCGAGCCAGTGATGATGTGGCTCGCGCCGCGGCCCGTGTGATCAGAGCGAATTTGCTTTTTTCTGCGGGAGGTGTGGTGTGGTGTGGGGGTGTGGGGAGGGGTGGGCTGGGCTGGGTTATAAAGGCATATGAGAAAATCTCGGGCAATCTCGGGCAACAACCTCGCCTAAATAAAAAGACCGCTTTTTTTCGCGCCCGCGCGCCGCAGCAGAGGAGACTAACGGGCTTCTTGACTTGACCGGGAAGGGTCGAGCCTGAGAGAGTAGAGCTGCGCCTACGGGCAGCACGCCGGGGGCGGCGTGAGCGTCAGCACGACAACGTGAAGGCTGCCGACACTCTCACGCATCCACGACACCGTACGTCGCGTGCTCATCTTCGACGCAACTCGCACATGCTCGTCCTTCTGCTGTCCACGCCCGCCGGCCTGCCCGGCCGGCCCAAGCGCCCGGCTGGCCGGCGATACGTCGACGACGCCGCCCCGCCCGCCGCCGACGGCATCCGCCGAGTCTCGCTCGCCCGCTCGAAGCTCATCCCGCAGCCGGTGCTCGCTCAGGCCGTCCGCGAGTCAGGCGTGCTGGGCCGGCCAGCGTCGGACCCGGCGGTGGGCGCGCTTTCCGACCGGCTCGAGCACTGGTACCGCCGCAGCGGCTACCTCTTTGCGCGCGTCGGTAAGCGCGTCTCGCAACCGGGCGACAGCAGCCACCTTGTCCTGCTCGCCTCGGAGCCGGAGGTGGCGCGGCGGCCCGTCAAGATCGAGTTCTTCGCGCCCGTCGCACCGGCCGTCGACGCCGACGCCGTCGCCGCTCGCCCCCCCGCTCCGCCCGCCACCCGCCGCTGGCTCGCAGAGACCGCGCTCGCCTTGGCCGCGGTGCCGCGCGAGCCTCCGGTGCTGAAGGGGCGTTTCCGCGACGCGGCGGCGGCGGCGAGGCTCGAGGCGGCGCTCGCGCGCGCGCGCGCCTCGGGCGCCGCTCGCCCCGCCGCCCTCTTGCGCGCAGAGGCGCAGCTCGTGCAGCGGCGGCGGGCGTGCGGTCTGCCGGCGATCTCCTTGCTGGAGACGCTCGCGGCACGAGGCGAGGCGGTGCGGTGCGGAGGGACGACCAAGGAGGAGGCGGTGGCGCGGATGCTGGGCTTGCGGCCGGGCGAGCCGTGGCGCCTCGACGAGGCTGGCTGGCAGCGCCTCCGCTCCTCCCCCCTCTTCGCCTCTGTCGACGCCCCGCGGATCGGCGGCGCAGAGACGGCCGAAGGCGGCGACGGCTCGCTGCAGGTGCGGCTGCAGGTGGTGGAGCAGGGCGCGCGCAAGGGTCGGCCGGCGCGCTTCCGCGCGCTCGAGCCCTCGGTCTCCCTCTCGCGCGGCTCAATCACCGGCGAGGTGTCGCTCGAGGACCGCAACTGGCGCGGGGCCAACCAGCAGCTGTCTGCGCGCGTCGCGCGCGCCAACGCAACCGAGGTGTCGGCGCGGCTGCGTGACCCGAGTGCGCTCGTGCTGCGTCCAAAGAGCAGGGCCCTCTCTGCTGCCTCGGCCGGAGGGACGCACCTCGCTAGCGACGTGCGCGGCTTCTGGCGGCCGCTGCCGGGCGGCGAGGCGGCGGCGGACGCGCCGCGCGAGGCGCGCGCGGGCGGTTCGTGCCTACTCTCGGCGGTGGCGCCGCGGGCGGCGGGTCTGCTCGTCGGCGGGCAGCTGTCTGCCGAGCACGTGCCCGCGAGCGGCGGCGGCGGCGGCGGCGGCGGCAGCGGCGGGGGGGAAGGGCGGGGCGGCGGGCGGGGCGACGAGTTGCCTGTGCTCCTAGAGGCGCGCGCCACTGCCGGCGCGCTGCGGCCTCCCGAGGCTGTGGCGGAGGCGGAGCTCCGGCAGCGCGGCGGCGCCGTGGCGCGCGGCGGCGCGGGCGGCGTCTTCGCACGGCTGCGGGAGCGGGTGAGCGCGGGCGGCGAGCTTCGTCTCGCGCGTGCTCTGCCGCTCGCCGACCCGTGCCCCGACTTTTGGCGGCTGTCGGGCCGGGCCTCCCTCTCCTCGCCGCTGCTCCCGCCCGCGCCGCCCGCGCCGCCGTCGCCGCCCCCCGCCGCCCCGGTGGCTCGATTGCCGGCGAGGCCGCCGGTGGTGATGGCGGCGCGTCCCGGCGAGATGGCGGAGACGCCGCCAAGAGAGGCCCCCGCCTTGGGCAGCGCAGCTGCGGCGGCGGCGAGCTTTGCCCGCCGCATGGCGCGCACGGGCCGTGTGTCCGCCACGGCGCGCGGCAAGCTGGCGAGTGGCGGCGCCCC